CCCCCCCCCCCCCCCCCCAAACTTCTGCTCCTGCCGGCCCTCCCTCTTCGCCCATGAGCCAGCTCCGACACCCCCCTCCTCCTCCTGTTCTCCTCCCCCCCAGCACCAACCCTGCTTTAAAATTAAAAAAAATGTGCCCCCTCGGCACGTGCTACCCCCTGTGTCCTAGGGGCCCCCCTTCGCTCTTCACAACTGAAGAGAAGCTCTTGGGGAAAAAAAAAGAAAGGATTTACAACCACTGCATCAACAACAATGCACAGGTGAGCCTCAACTCCACATCGACCCCACCCCGGCCAAAAAAAGCAAGAAACATTGTGCATGTTCTCAATTTCCCCCCTTTTTCAAGCAGCGTTGCATCGACTGCATCAACAACAGAGTGCAGGTGAGCCTCAAATCCATATCAACCTCCCGACATCTTACCATTTTCACCCCTTTTCCTTTGCGAGCGAAATCGCAACAGGTATCCTTGTCTTTTTGTTAGATCTCCTGTCCCATGTAACAGTGTGGTGGAGTGGTCGCATTTTCTGTTCGTGCTCCGTTTGTTAACAATTTTTGTACTCTTCGACAGGAGTGGATTATGGAGCAGTGGGAAAAGAACTATTACATCAGTGCAATCGCGGGTGCCAACAATGGAAGCTCCTTGGTGGTTATGTCAAAGGGTAAGGCCCACCGTCCATACTGCAAAGCACTGTGTTAGAATGTTGCTGAGTGCACCCAATACTTGCAAAGTTGGTTGCCAGATTATTAGAAAGATGAATTGGTATGTTCTCCTCTTTGAAATGGGTTGTCCTCGCTTGCCTGAAAATGCGACAAATGCCCAGCGCATTTTATAATTGTGGTGGTGTGAAAACAGTTACTCCGAGGAGCAGGAGGTGGACTCTGAGAAAATGGAAAGAAGGAAAGAAAAACAAAGCATCAGGGGTTTGCCGATGTAGGGGAAAAGGGAGGGGGGAGGTAGAGGAGAGGTGGACAGTGAGAAAGGGGAAAGAAAGGAAAACAAAGCAACATGGGTTGAAGTGTAGGGGAAGAGGCGAGGGGAAGGCAGAGGAAAGTTCCTGAGGAGTGAAAAAGACAGGTGGAGTAAAATATGAAGCAGGGTCGGGACAGGCGTGAAGCGTAAAAGAGAAGAGGAAGGTGGATAATTTCAGGAAGGACAGCGATGATGGATGGTGATTATGATGATGCTGATGACGTGGAAGGGTCTCATGGAAGGTGTGTAGGGGAGAATAATGTAGATAGAAAGGGCTTCCTGGGATGGTATGATAGAGATTGCACTCGATGCGCAATCTCTATTTAGTGTCTCCTCCTGCCTCTCAATCCATCTTTTCCTATTTTGTCATGCAAAGAAGGCATGTTTGCATGCGCT